AGATGGTAAAACAGTGCCGGTCCCAATACCGACCCCTGAGGAACGCCACTTGTCACTCGTCTCCACTTGGACATCAAGCCCTTGACCACAACTCTTTGAGTGTGACCATCCAGCCAATTCCTTATCCACCAAGTGGTCCATCCATGTCTCTCCAATTTAGAGATGTCATGTGGGACAGTGTCAAATGCTTTGCACAAGCCCAGGTAGATGACGTCAGTTGCTCTTCCCATAATATATATGGGAATATACATATGAATACATACTATGAATGAATAGTTAATATATATGTTAATATATATGAATATATAGTTAATATAGATGAATACATAGTTAATTTTTAATCAAGATGATTTTTTGAACAGTACAAATATTTGCAGTAATTTATGAGATCCCACACTGTGTGTGGCCATTCTATTATGTGTTTTATTTATCTGAATCTTTACTTTTCATTTGTCAAGTCAGTTGTGTTATGAACATGGAGCCAAATCTGAATTCACCATAAGAATTCTTTAGCTATAGCACTTTTTTATTTTTGTTTTGTTTAACATCTGTTAGGTGTATGGATGACTTTATCTTGTTCCAAGACTTTGTGGTCAATGGCAGTCTGCCAGATCCTCCAAATCTAATGCAAATTTCCTTATTTGTTACATATGTTAAATTTGTTGTAGTTGCTTTTTTCCGTCAACTGTATTAAAACCTAATTATATGAAGCAATTAAAAATTGGCAAGGTTTTCAACCATCATTCAGGGTCGTAGTGTAGAAGGGCCTAAATTTTTGTCCAAAGCCTTACAGAACAATTTGATTTTTTATTCTATAGTATATGAATTGACATTCTCACTTATAAGTCACAAATTTTTGAAGATAATAATATTCTGCTAGACTAGCTTACACAAAGGGAACCACTTACAGTTTTTCTTTGTGTTCTACTGAAAGTGATACTGTACTTTTCAATGTCTTAGTTTAGCAAGATGCCAGTGAACTGCATTGTCATTTTTAGACCAATAATGGAAAAATTAAAAGAAAAGTCTTATCCTATCTATAAACTGTTCAAATGCGCCATGAAAATATTGTCATTTTTTCAGTCTGAAACATCAGTACTGTTACTGGTTGTTTGTATAGGATCCTTCTGTAATTCTCTGTGTACTTAACCTTGATTTTTTCTGAAAATAGCCTGTTACCATGGAAGTCCAAAATGCTGGACTATGATCTTTTCCATATTCTCCATTTTCCTCCAAAATATGAAAGGTTGGAAAAAGGTAAGATGAAAGAAAGATAACATGTAAAGAAGGAAAAGGCTGAATCATTTTTGTCTGGAACTCAACTCTGCTCAGTTACAGGTGAGTCTCAGCTTGCCTTTGAAATTCCAGAGTGTACCTTTTCTGAGATCTTTTAGCCAGTACTGTAGTTTAGAATTGGCACAGCTTAAGAAAGTCAAACTTTGCATGCCAGGTAACTCAAAGCTAGAAACCTGATGTAAAACCTCTATCCTCTTTATGCTGTAATAGTAGTCAAAACCCATATAAACTATGTTGTTTCAGTCTTCTCATGGTAAGAGTCAAAGAATAAGCAAAGAAATGTGTTTAGGCGAGGCAGGAAATATCTTGCTTATCAATCCAAAATACTAAATTGCACCCCTTCCTGCGGTATCTAGTGAGAAGACTTCCAAGTACTTTTAAAGACGTGAACACCCTGATTTGCTTGGCCTGCTCTGGGTGGGTAGTTGGATGCTCTGTCCTCATTTTCCCATGTTTTAGCTGGGGCTTTGTTATTTAGCAGCCGCTACGACTCATATATCAAAACACGAACTTTAATAAAACCAGGTCTTGAACCATTCACAGATTTAAAAATTCTGTAATGGATTAGATCCAATGAAGAAATGAGGAATCTGCAGCAGTACTTAGGTTGTACTTAGTCTAATAATTAGTAGTTAAGCCTAAATGAGGTGCCAGAATTGACATCCTAAAGACTTCCTAATTCAGTTGCCATTTACCCCTGAAGGTGACTAACCACACTATAATACTTTCCTGTTTAACAGTAAAATTTCTTCTTTAGTTTGCTTCTGTGCAGGCACAGAATTAGCTCATTTTGAGCTGAAGTGTGCAGTTCTTACAGAGGGCCTGACGAGTGTTCTTCCATCCAAGATCCTGTGAGCATTTTTAACTGACATGAGCAAGATTGAGCTTCTCAGAGAGTGAAAGTGAAGTCACCCCTTGAAAAAAAAGTAGTTGTGATGCAAACCACCTTTTCAATGCTAGCCTGAGTGTTGGGCTAAACAATTGATCTGAGATTAGCTTGCTACTCAGGCTGAGAAGATTCAAATGCACATTTTTTGGTATCCTAATCAGTGGATCTAACCACCAGGCTATACACAGAACTGAAAAGGAACACACTTTCTAGTAAATCTGGATGAAGTTGTGCCACTGGGTAGGATGGAATTCAAAATTTCTGTGACCAGAAAGATCACAAGAAGAAAATGTCTCTGCAACAGGTAAGGGGTTTTTCCCTTGAAGATGGTGGTGAGGGCTTCAGCTATAGGCCAAGTTAGGAACTGAACTGATACAGTCCACTTTTTTGGTAAGTATACTAACTACAACATCTTAGATAAAAGTGAGTTTCACTACTACCACAACTTTTGCGTTAAATAAAATACCTATGTAGAATATAGAATAAAAGAGTTAGCTCTGCTCAGTTCTTTGAGAGTTCTAGATGTCTATGGTCCTAACTACCATGAAGGATTGCTAACTTTGGCACTAGGAGACACTTATGCTCTGGAGGAGTTTTCAGATATGCCTCTGTGCATAGTGCATCCTAGGCTTCTCAGCATCTGGGCTGTCCAGTTTGCAATTCAGAGGCTCTTAACAGTCCCTGTGCTCTGAAACAGGGCACCTACTAAATCACGGGGATGAACAACCTAAAATGCCTTGGTTCTTTATTGGGTCTGTTTTAGAAACTACTTGGGAGCTTGTGGAGAGCCTTAAATGCAGGTCTGTTATTCTGTAATGATGTGAGCATTGGAAAAGATGAGCAGTCACATCTGGAGCCCGTGCTTTACCCGCACGTTCAGCTTCAACGTAGTGAGTTATAGTAATCCAGAGTGGAGGTCACAGACAAATGGATTGTTTGTCAGGATCGTTACAAGGGAGGAAAAAACTTAGAGCCAGATTAAACTCCCCCCCGACATTTATGTGCCAAAAGTGCCACCTGGGATGAATTTAGGCCTGTGGGTCCAGGTGAGCAATCCCCACAAAATCCTTCTGTACTTGTAGTGTGACTGAGAATCCTGAGACATCTCATGTTCTCACTACTAAAATTGGTTAGGCACGTAAAGTGCTGCTGCTCTGCTTTCCTGGCTGGCATTGTTTTGACTGCGCGGAGCATTTTAACGCCTAGTCTTTGGCTTCACAAAATAGGAATATATTGCCCTTAAGAGCAAGGGCTAATCCAGTAGCTATACCATGAGCATGCATCACTCACATAGGCAGCTTTGAGTTCAGCACATAATAAAGCAGTTGAGACTACATCCCTTCAAAAACATGGCAAGTCATGGGATGGTACTACTGCTCCCCCGTGCTTCTGACTTTCTAAATCTTTATGCTTATATTCAGTGACCTGTCGCTAATGGTGCCTGCTCTTTTAGACCCTATCAGTGTCCCCCACTGAGCGCATTGCTGTCACTTCACCCTGAAGTAACACTCTGGCTGTGGAAGGCTTGCATCCATGTTTGGCTTCCATGAGCAGGTGTTATTATTACTATGTCTTTATAAAAATTATATATATGTATTTGTTGAAAGGTATCCAGAAAAAGCAGCAGAATGCTGAATATCATGATCACACTGTTGGAATGTGGGCACATGCTGTTTCCCTGTCTCTTTTGCTGATGATCCTCTGTAAATGCTGAAAAGGGGATAGCGTAAACTCTGAGAGCGTGCGGGAGAGAAGAAGTAGTTACTGACTGCCCCCTCCGAGTCTTATCGGAGACAAATTAGATGTACCAAGTTATTTACTTCTGTGCTTTGGAGACTTTCTTTTGTAGCTCACTGTATCAGAGTCACTGCGGAGATCTCACAGAACAACACGGAGATCTTACTTGTGTCAGGGCCATGGAGAATGTAAACTGGAGTTCCCACGGCAGTCTTTGGTCTGTGTCCTGGTCTGAACTTGTGAAGGTTCAACAGCTGGCCAATGTCATGTTGCTAGAATTTTCTTTAATGCTTTCATAGTTTTTCTTTTTCCCATGTTGTTGGCAATAGCAAGTCAAATACCAGCTTCTGTGGCTGCTCAAGATATTACGTTGTTCTAAAGGCATGGTTAGTGTGCTTCTTAGGAGAAGTTGATCAGTTCCATTAGTTATGGGCATAATTGTTCTTCAGTGCCTTTCACAAGACAGCAATGACATGGATCCCGTACATGGATAGGGCTAATGTCTTCCAGCAGCAGCTTGCTTTGTAGCTTAATATTTTATGTTTTAGGGCAACTTGGCTCTGGACCAGAACTTTAACGTTTCATTTTCATTTATAACCAGAGTTTATGGAAATAAGAAGTGAATATTCTGGTCTTGTGAATAAGTCCAGAGAGGCTTTGGCTAATTTTCCTTTCTTAATAGCATCATTTCAGTTCATAAAACTTTTATTATTGTAATAAGGAGTTACAAAATGAAGACTGTAAGTAAAATTCCTATGTTTGGGATCAGTGCTGTTGCAATGAAATAATACTTTTCCAAAGAGTTAGTGTGAATGTATAAGATCCGCCTATTTTTTCACAGAGTTATTTTTAAGGGGTAGAAATATTGTTTAGTTACTGTGATACCTGAAAATGAGGATTCTCTGCACTGAATTTTTGTATGATTTCTCAGACTGCCTTAAGTTCTCTTTATTGATTGTGAAATGTCTAGAGAGCTGACTAAACAAAAGAATCAGTCTGGAGAACTGAATGAAAGATACTTGCTTTCCAGTTCTTGACTTGCTGATCAATGCTTTTCTTTTGTTATGTTGTATTTTTGAAGATTATTTTTCTCTACGGTCCTGCTGTAACACAGTGTTGATCTTCATTGCTGCAATAACACAGCAGGCAGAAGGACTACAGCCAAAGTTAACACAGTCCTTTGAAACTGATGTCAAAGAGATGATATGTTTGTTAAGGAATTGTCATGTACCCTCTTGGTTAAATGCATTTGTGATTTTGCAATATGTGGTGTTAAAGCTGAAATAAAATCTATCTCAGTGTTTATTGAAACTGATACGCTCATGTATTACGCCAGATTCAGCAGCTCTGACTTACCAGCTCACGCATACGGCATTAGTAAATACAAGTTGTCACTCTGACAGGTACGCCTGTGTTGACTTTGTTACCTTGTAATCTATTTGGAGTGCATTTTCTTAGGATTACCTTTTTATCAGTTTTCCTGTGTGCTTTTATAGCTGACAAATCTCTTCTAAGTTACTAGGGAAACATTTCTTCCCTCCATTAACTAAACATTAAAAGCTACAGCGAGGAATGGAGGTAGGAGTCGAAAATTCAATGAGGCATTATCTAACTTCAGATGTTCCACTGCAGAGTAGAAATCGGTGCCCTCTAAATGATGTCTAAGACACCCTACACACTTCATGGGAG